GAGCCTATGTTAGGCTAGTCTGTTTTCCAACATCTTTCGCTAGTGTTGTACAACTGTGTTGTTGACTTAAATTGGAAAGAAACTCACAGTAGGAATCTAAATATGTTCATCTCTCCTTTTCGCTTTTTCCTTTGGTGTCATTATCATCGTTATTGATTCTTTATTTTTTTTTTCCCTGGGGAAAAGAGGGGGGGGGGGGGGGGTGCCTGGTACAGCTAAAACATCTGGAAAACACATAAACCTTATTCAACGTCAGCTGGCTTGAATGCTTACCTAACTTGCAGCTCAGTTATAATACCTAACACTATTTAAGAGCCATGTTGACAACCCTTGGTCACTTTCTATTTCAAGTTTGTTTTAGTGGTTCCTTTTTTTTAAGCATAAATGAAAATCCTTGAAATGTTAGGTGACTTCTTCTTATTTTAACTCGGAATTAGTATTTGTAATCATATTCTAATTTGTTCTATTTTTTTCTCTGGGCAGTATAATTTCCTATGTTTGTTTTCAGATGATGATGAAAGTTGAGAATGCTAATTTAATAAATGAATGATGCCATTTAATCATGTAGATTTCACATATGATTTCTAAATGTAATATGCTATGTATCATTACAAAATCATAGATGACTAAATGATGATTTCATTATTAATGCTTGCTCATCTCATTTGCTTTTTCGTATATCTATGATAAATTAGTAAGGTCCTAATAATAATCTCTGACAGATATTTTTCTTTGTTTAATGAAAATGATAAAAAATTGTTGTTCCTGATTATTGAGCTGAACAAGAAGGAGATTTATTGTTATTGAAATTCCTTTTGCTTAGTTTTTGGAATTTTAATGGCTTTATAACCTTTCTAGACTTAAAAGACTGTTGTAGAAATAACGATGATTGAAAACAGAAAGAAATAATAAACTGAAATTAGAAAACAAAACCTTTAGGCAAGGACAATCCAGGATTCTATCTTCGAGATAGTAATTTCCCCACCACAATCCAGATGAACCCTTGGAAATTCTATCATGGATACAATGCCTAAACTCAAAACTTTCTAAGACTGCACTTCTTATAAGTCTTTGAACCGAGCACTCAACCCGAATTCAAAAACAGAAAGTAGAATTAATGCAGAAGAACTTGTAGAAGGAAGGAATTCAAATAAGAGAGAAAGAGAGTGAATGACTTTATTATTCCACAACCTTGCATTGGAACCCTATTTATAGAGTTCCTTCAGAAAAGTCACAACTCTTCCTCCAGAAGGCAAAAGTCACCATTCTGGAAAAGCCACAGTGGTTTGATTGGTATCTTGTTAGGAAGAAATCCCCAACAGCTGCCAATGAGCAACTAAAATTCAAAATTTTGAACTGATTTGTAAACCAGGAAATAACTTCAACAACAGTTCCTTCCTGGTTTCCCAACCGTTGCCCCTTCTTCTTTCTTACATATATATATATATATTAAAAATTATTATTACTAGAAGTTCCCATTATACGGGTCTCCTCTTATGAGGAATTCCTTGGGCTCTTGGGATGAGAATGAAAGTCTCCTCTCTAGTTCTAGGAGAGCCTTTGAACCCAAAAGGAACATAGAACACTATGTGGGATGAATCCAAAATGTTTGAATTCACCCTCCAATGCTCAATCCCAATTTTTGGAGGAAATGATGAAATTTTGAGTTCCCACCAAATTTTAATGTTCAAGTGACATGTACTTGTATTATATAATTGAGTATGTCCTTATTAGTAAATATTCTATTTATTATGTATATGTAATATATATATATATATATAACAAAGACTTGGTCCTTTAGGTTGCTTTAGGTGTGTGTACTACTTCAGGAAACCATTATTCCTGTGGCAGCATTTCTAGACTTTGTTCATATTTGCATTTTACGAAATTATGGTAGACAATTGACCTATTAATTGTAATTTTTATGTGCTCTCTAGAAAGCTTTTGTCAGAAGAATTACATTAAGGTTGTTATACCTCTCAGAAAAAAATACTGAAATACTTGTGCAGCATGAAAAATTAAATGCTACAATCTTGATTTTAAGTATAAGAAGGTTTGATTGAGCAATGCCAAAAATATAATAAAATATGCAGCCGGAAAATTTACAGCAAGACAGGAAGGATAAGAACACATTCACAATGTGAGGACTAGTACAAATTGAAATTATTATGAGAGAAAATCAGAATACTATTAGATTGAGGGTGTTGCTAGAATGAGAAGACTAACCAAAAATCTGGCTTAGATGATATGAAATGGTGAATCATGATAGGCAGTCATTTCAAATATTCGGTATAAAGGAAGATGCCATTACTGTTGTTGTGAATGAGCAGTATAGAAAATTTGACTAGTTTTTTTTATGCTCATGTTTCTTTAAGAATGTTGAGATCTCAATCTTCTCATTGTAAAAGTGCAGGCCAATTACAAATCTGTAAACTTGTCAGCAAGTACTTACTTTGTGCCTGAGTTCACTTCCATGCAATACTTGAATTATGGTGCTGCAGTGAGTGAGGTTAGTTTGTCTTATTACACCTTTTCCTCTTATAGGAACATCTGGATTGCATTACAACCCCCCCCCCCCCCCCCCCCCGGCCTTCTTCCTTTCTTTTTTTGAGTATTGCTGGAGTGCCCAGTATATTTACCGAATTTTATAGTTCTGTGGGACATCTATCCTGCATCAGCACTTTATAAATCTTAATACTGAGAAAGAAGCTGCTGGTGTTGCAGGTTGAGGTAAACCTATTGACTGGAGAAACCAGAATCTTGCGAGCAGATATTATTTATGACTGCGGACAGAGCATGAATCCAGCTGTGGATTTGGGACAGGTTGGCTTAAGTACACATAACTCTCTAATGAGGAGGTTAAGAAGTTTTCATCCTTCATAACCTCTTGGTTGTATGTTGTTTTGACGGTACATATTTAAGTTAAGCTCCAATTTCATTTCGTATGAGGACACATTCTAAAAAGTTGAGATATTTAAGCTTTCTGAGATTAGATTTGAAATGTGCAATTCTGAATATTGGACCAATCTGGTGTCAATGATGAGCTTTTTGAACTTCGTGCAGATTGAGGGGCTTTTGTACAGGGACTTGGATTTTTTATGCTTGAAGAATACCTTACAAACTCAGATGGATTAGTGACTGGGAATGGAACATGGACATACAAGATTCCGACACTTGATACCATACCCAAAGAGTTCAATGTTGAGGTACTTAACAGTGGACATCATCAAAAACGTATTCTCTCCTCTAAAGGTATGTTTAGTATGTGCATTCTGTCAAAAACTTGAAAAGCCAACTTCATTTAGGGATGATCTTGCTTATTAACACGAGCCACTAAATCTTTTTTTTTAGGGGGGGGGGGGGGGAGGGAATTTCTAGCATGTTAATGATGAACATAATTTGAAGTTTTTGATGGGTAATCATCTGGATGTATTTAACCGGAGAAATATGTGATTGCTTTAGTCAATTACAAATGAGGAATGTAAAAACATTCTATATAAAGAACATTTGGAGGGCAAGGCCTTTTTTTTTTTGGGGGTCAGTGAGGGCAAGGTTTGTTAATGTAACTCTAAACATCTTAATTTATATGCAGGGCTGACTATCATAAAATTGTACACTTCTAGCCTCTCAGCGATTGGTATTGCTGCAGCGGGCATATACTATTTGACTTGTGAAGCTTAGGGTGTAAACACATAATTATTCTTTTATTTCAATTTGTCCACAACGTTGTGTTATTATTAAAAACAATTGTTGATCTACTTGTCTGATTGTCAGATTCCTAGTGCTCTCCATTCATATGAATGCATGCCCCCATATATACCATACTGAATGAGGCCGTTTTTCTTTTGGTTGCTGAATTGTATTGAATCAATTCTTTGCAGCTTCTGGTGAGCCACCATTACTTCTGGCAGTTTCAGTTTACTGTGCCACAAGAGCAGCCATTGAAGAAGCCAGAAAACAACTTTTTTGTTGGAATGGATTAGATGGGTCTTATTCCAGATTCCAGCTAGAGGTCCCTGCCATCATGCCCACTGTGAAGGAACAATGTGGGCTGAACAATGTGGAGAGGTACCTCCAAAGCTTGCTCTCCCGTTGATCAACGTGGTTTTTTTTTTTGTTTTTTTTTTTAATATTCGATTGCAACAATCACACTATAAATCTTTGCTGTAGCAAAATTACTGGTTGCCTTGTGGTTGAATTGTGAAGTTTTTTTCCTGCCAGAAACTTGAGAGAGGAAAGTGATGAACAATCTTACTTGTATTTTGGAGAGGACAACTTCTGGATTCTATACATAGATAGAGTTAGCCTCATCGTTTGGACATTTTAGGCCTAAATAATAATTTCTTCATGTCTCAGTTACCACTGTGTCAACTAGCAATAACCGTTGGAGTTTTGGTACCGGTGTTTTTTTGGGTAGGGACAGTGGACGCAAGGCCAGTTGTTAATCAGGGGCTGCTCGACAAAGCTCTTTCTTCTTCTTCTCTGTCACCTTCCACCTTCTTTGTCGCCATGAATGACCTCTAATAGCTTTGACACAGTCGCTCAAATGGAGTGATATCCAATTCTTAAATCTCAAACTGAGGCAGCCGTTGAACTGGAATCTCTCCCGCCACTAAAACGTTCGTTTATTATTTTTGATCAAAACGAAGGAGCAGATCCAAAGACAATCATCAAAATCTGTCCTCACTGTGCACCAAATTCAAATAAAAATCATCAGAATCAGTCGCCACATGAACAGAGACCACACCCAGTCATTCTTGTAATGCTTTGAAAACTTGCAAGTCCAAGTCCAAAATCAAAAACCTCTTGTTCGTAATCAAAATTTAAAAATCAGAATCGACAGATACCCAAAGATTGCAGTCGATTCCTCTCTCCAAATCCAGATCATCACTACCACCATGATAAATCGACCCCAATCGCTTTTGTGACCATCACTACTCCAGCCCCCATTATTTCCTCTCCTCTATCACTTTCGTCTCCAGTGTAGAATAATAATTCACAATCGTCAGAGAAAAGCAGAGAAATGAGAGACATAAAAGGTGGAGAAAAGAGCATAGTTATCAGCTCAATACCAAACCGATAGAAAGGTCGGATTAATGGGTTACTGGTTCAAAAGTTATGTCAAATGGTCGGTAGTATAGTAAAAAATAAAAACAATTACTAATAAGAATAATTTGCTAAAAAGTTAGAATAATTATAAAAATAACATATTTCATGTAATAGTAGATTAAATAAAAACACAAAAAATATTCCCAAAGCATATACTGAAAAGCAGTGCCGGAGAAGTCCAAAGAAAACAAAAGCTGTCCGTCCCACATCGGAAGGCTTAAGAAAAAGGAAAATTTGGAGGCTGCCCTTTTTCTAGACTTATTTGGTGATAAATTTATTAAGAAAATTTGTTTAATATTAATTTTATTTTGATCTTTATTGTTCAAAATATTCCTAATAATTATGTTTAATTAAAACACATTTAAAAACTAACAACTCTTAAATTTTAGGAGTTTGATTAACTTTAAAATTATCACTATCATATTTATCTATATCTATATATAGAATATATGACTATTTATTTCTCTTTCACACACACAGATATATATATATATATATATATATATGTATATATATTGTCCGTATCTGAAGAAACTATGTAACAAATAAAAATAATCGTTATAGTATTTGGAAACAAATGAGAATCAATTGAAAGATCGAAAAAAAAAAAAATTAATTCGTGGTGTTGTGTGCATAATTGCAATAAATGACATAAGCCAAGAACAAAAAAGCAAAAAATATTACTTGGCTAATGACGACTGTCACAGTGTTATATATGAGATAAAAAACACTTAACAGTTCGTAAAAACAAAATTCAATTGATGATAATTATTACTCTTACACAACAAAGTGACTTATCACCACATCATCACGATACCAGCTAAATTAGCCGTGCTTGAACTATAGAAGTTCAGACCTCTACTCATCACACCTATAGAAGTTCAGACCTCTACTCATCCACATGAAGTTCAACTATTGCAACCATTGCTATAGAGCAATCACGCCAATAGGATCAAGAAAGCACACATCTAAATTCATTCATATAGGCATATAAATAAATAAAAAATTTAGAAAAAATTTCCCATAAACAAAACTAACTAATAACAGGAATATAAATCTAGGAAAAAAAAGGTCCAACAAACAGAAAACAACTAATTGATTTTGAACAATGAGAAAAATATAGCAAAACAAAGCGAAAACTAACCATTACAAACTGTAGCTCATTTTTCCAAGGTTCAAGACAACACCAACTGAAGGAAGGGCTTCATAGAAGAAAAATAGAGAAAAGTTCTAATTATTCAAGTGAATATTTAGACCTAGATACTTAGAATTTCAAGTAATAATTAGCCAAATTTAGAAAGAAAAAAAAACGTACCAGAATCAATATTTCGCAATCAAATGAGTCTTGACTAGTCAAGCAGTAGCATAGCCTAAAATAGTGTATTGGATAGAGATAGGTTCAGTATTTTACCATTCGTAATCATGATAGTAATACAAAATCAGCAAGCTTTATCTTCCCACTTTATGTACCTATGTAAATACAGCATCATTTAATTCTCAAATATATGAGAATATCATATTCAATTAAAAAAAAAACTCAACAGGTCACCATTGGCTCAAAAATGTCCCACTGATCACCACCGACATCACCAAAAAAGAAAGAAAGAAAGAGAACGAATTCCAACTAATCACCACTGTCACCAAAAGCTCTGGTGATCACCACCATTGTTGCCACACCTAAAATTGGCCAAGAAGTATATTAAAGAAACCCTAGATCGTAACATTAATCACATGATAACAATTACTCCAGTTTCTTTTGCTAATCACTAAAATTGATCAATTAAAAATCAAGAAAAGTCACTGTAATATAGGATTATAGATATTTAACATACTATTATATCGCCAAGAAAAAATTAACTTCTTTGCGGTACCTACAATTTCATCCCATGAGCTATAAACAACCTACAAAATTAAGGTTGAAATCAATATAAAAAAAAAACCCAATATGAGAAATAGAATTTGAGCCTTTAGGTGTGGGTTGCCGAAAAGTAGTGGTGAAGGCAAAGGGAGGGACCCAAGACGGTCTTTCTCTGAGGGAATAGAGAACTAGCGAGATTGAGGGGGTGAATGATAGATCGATTGTTACCTGAGAGATTGCCATGGCAGAGAAATAATGGCGTGTTGATGCAGTTGAGGTGGTGAATGAGGCGTGAAAAAAAGATTTGGCGTGAAATATGGGATTTGAAATTTTGTCCAACGTGAGAGATTTATTCCCTATTGAATGAGAGAGGGAGAAAGAGGCAGAGTTGAGGAGTGAGAGATCGCTTAATTGTCAGATTGGATTGATTTAGAGAAGATATCATCGTTGATTTGGATCGCTAGTGAATGAGAGAGGGAGAGAGACGCCGTGGAGTGAAACATAGCTTAATTTAAGGATTGGATTGGGTTGAGAATTTAATTGAAAAGTTTGATTTGGAGCGTGCATGAGAGAGAGGGAGAGAGAGGTCGACTTGAGGAGTGAGAGATAGTTTAATTTAAGGATTGTATTGGGATAGAGGCGCGAGATATTGGAAGAGAGAGGCAGAAGTTAGATTGGAGAAGATTTGAAAGATTTCATAGGAGAGAGAGAGAGAGGCGTGACTCAGGAAAGATTGTTGGGCGGAAAAATAAATTTCAGTACTTATTGTAAATTGTCGGATCAGTATTTATGAAATGATTTGAACTGTNTAGGAGAGAGAGAGAGAGGCGTGACTCAGGAAAGATTGTTGGGCGGAAAAATAAATTTCAGTACTTATTGTAAATTGTCGGATCAGTATTTATGAAATGATTTGAACTGTCTTTTATGTTAGGATTACATTGTCAGTTAGATGTGTTTATATTTTATCTCAAAATGATCTGGAAACAAAGAGACAAAGATAAGTACATTAAAAAAAAAAATAGTATCATTTAAACACAAAAAAAAATAATATTCAAAAATAAAAAAATAATAACATTGAGGATTAATATTTGAAAAAATAACAGTATTAATATACTCAACAAAAACAATAGCATGTCCAACAAAAATAGTAACATATTCACAAAAATAGNAATAATAACATTGAGGATTAATATTTGAAAAAATAACAGTATTAATATACTCAACAAAAACAATAGCATGTCCAACAAAAATAGTAACATATTCACAAAAATAGTAACATGATAAAAAAAATTATATATATATATATATATATATATATATATATATATATAGAGAGAGAGAGAGANTAGGAGAGAGAGAGAGAGGCGTGACTCAGGAAAGATTGTTGGGCGGAAAAATAAAATTCAGTACTTATTGTAAATTGTCGGATCAGTATTTATGAAATAATTTGAACTGTCTTTTATGTTAGGATTACATTGTTCGTTAGATGTGTTTATATTTTATCTCAAAATGATCTGGAAACAAAGAGACAAAGATAAGTACATTAAAAAAAAATAGTACCATTTAAACACAAAAAAATAGTAATATTTAAACACAAAAAAAAAAAAAATATTCAAAAATAAAAAAATAATAACATTGAGGATTAATATTTGAAAAAATAACATTATTAATATACTCAACAAAAACAATAGCATGTCCAACAAAAATAGTAACATATTCACAAAAACAGTAACATGATAAAAAAAATTATATATATATATATATATATATATATAGAGAGAGAGAGAGAGAGAGAGTCTCAGTTGTTCGTTAAATTTGAATTTTAAATTTATGTAGAAAAATTTATTGGCATATCTTCATTGATAGTGAACTAAGGGATAATAATTCTCAAATTAGAAAACTAATTTAAAGTTACTTTTAAATAAGGGTGCTTTGGAGTTTTAAAAAAATAATGAATTTAACTACTTANAAATTAGAAAACTAATTTAAAGTTACTTTTAAATAAGGGTGCTTTGGAGTTTTAAAAAAATAATGAATTTAACTACTTATTAGTAAGATTAAAAACAAACTAATCTTCAAATAAATTTTCTTAATGGACTAAACTCATTATAAACGAACTTATTTCCAAATAAATTTATTTGACATACTAAACTCATTATAAGTCATTTAAAGAGAACTCAACATCAATTTTCGCTACCTTATTTTAGTTCTAATTTCCTTTATGATACTTTTCCATTTGGCTAGGTAAGTCAATTAAATAACGGGCTATATGATTGTCCCATTGGCTTAATAATTCAATTCCTTAACTAAATCAATACAATTTTAAACATCTTATCAGCGTAGAAAACCTATCTTAAAATAATAATTACTTTCCGGATTTGACCAAAAGAAATCTAAATTTAGAATAATTTGGCCCAACAAATCCGTAAAATTTTTGGGCGTGGGCTGTGAACATCTTCTTACCAAGTAAAAATAGAATTAGAATAAAATAGTCCTCAAATTTCATAAAATTTTGGGAAGAAAATATTATCAGTTCAAAAAATTTATCTAAAACAATAATTGTTTACCAGATTGAACGACGACGAATCTAAATTTAGAACAAATTGATCCACAAAATTCATAAATTTTTGGGACTTCTGACCGAAAGTATTATAAATTTAGAAAGTTTATCTAAAAATGATGATCACTTGCCCCATTGTACAATGATAAATCCAAATTTATAATAAATTGATCCATAAAATCCATAATATTTTAGGATTATGTTCTAATCCCAAATTAGTCCCTCACTATGTTCATTAATTTGAAACGTCTAGACTATTAACATTTGGTTGAATATTGGTCAAATTGATCCAAAGTAATGCTAGACTGACTAAATTTTAAAATCAAATTTAGAGTTCAAATGACATGACATTTGATTATTTGAAGTTTTTATTGGAATTCAAATGACATGACACTAATCAAAAAAATCCAAGTCAACTGTCACGTTATTTGGACTTTAAATTTGGTCCCAAAATTTAGTTAGTCTAGCATTATTGATCCACTTAACCAAATCGATTAGTCAATGATTGTTCAGCGATATAGACTCGTGGCATACCTAGTGGACGGTCCAGATCAAAGCAACTTGCAAAGGCCTGCTACTATTGTGGACTTTATGTACTCTAAATAAACCCTTCTACGTTCTTGCATGGCTCTATATAAACCCATGCAAGCCCTCAGTGTCTTTACGTAGTATTCAACAACAAAACACAAAGTTATATATTTCTGTTCTATTATTGCCGTTCGGTTGTCAGGTGAGGGATTACTAACCTCTTAAATTAGAATTTTCTAAATAAAATCAGTTAAGCATACTAATGTATAATTTTTTTTAACGGAGTTACCAAGGGTGGAAGTCGTTGCAAATTCTGTGCATAATACGATGCTGCTACTAATAGACAGACATATACATATAGAATATACATATATATACATTCTTAACACTCAAATCTTATGTAAATAATTGCTTTCAGGGTCTTACCAAATCTCCAAGTAAAATGATTCCGAATGTTTCAGTCATGTTACGGGTNAATTGATCCACAAAATTCATAAATTTTTGGGACTTCTGACCGAAAGTATTATAAATTTAGAAAGTTTATCTAAAAATGATGATCACTTGCCCGATTGTACAATGATAAATCCAAATTTATAATAAATTGATCCATAAAATCCATAATATTTTAGGATTATGTTCTAATCCCAAATTAGTCCCTCACTATGTTCATTAATTTGAAACGTCTAGACTATTCACATTTGGTTGAATATTGGTCAAATTGATCCAAAGTAATGCTAGACTGACTAAATTTTAGAATCAAATTTAGAGTTCAAATGACATGACATTGGATTATTTGAAGTTTTTATTGGGATCCAAATGACATGACACTAATCAAAAAAATTCAAGTCAACTGTCACGTTATTTAGACTTTAAATTTGATCCCAAAATTTGGTTAGTCTAGCATTATTGATCCACTTAACCAAATCGATTGGTCAATGATTGTTCAGCGATATAGACTCGTGGCATACCTACTGGACGGTCCAGATCAAAGCAACTTGCAAAGGCCTGCTACTATTGTGGACTTTATGTACTCTAAATAAACCCTTCTACGTTCTTGCATGGCTCTATATAAACCCATGCAAGCCCTCAGTGTCTTTACGTAGTATTCAACAACAAAACACAAAGTTATATATTTCTGTTCTATTATTGCCGTTCGGTTGTCAGGTGAGGGATTACTAACCTCTTAAATTAGAATTTTCTAAATAAAATCAGTTAAGCATACTAATGTATAATTTTTTTTAACGGAGTTAGCAAGGGTGGAAGTCGTTGCAAATTCTGTGCATAATACGATGCTGCTACTAATAGACAGACATATACATATAGAATATACATATATATACATTCTTAACACTCAAATCTTATGTAAATAATTGCTTTCAGGGTCTTACCAAATCTCCAAGTAAAATGATTCCGAATGTTTCAGTCATGTTACGGGTGCTCCTCCTCCTATGTGTTTGTATAGCAATGGCAGAGGCAAAATACAAAATATATAAGGACCCGAAACAGCCTGTTAGTGTTCGAGTTGAGGACCTTCTACATCGAATGACTCTAGTAGAGAAGATTGGTAAAATGGTGCAAATTGATCGGACCAATATTACTGCTAAGGTCTTGAAAAAAATACAGCATTGGGAGTTTACTCAGTGGGGGAGGAAGTGTACCTCGTCCAAACGCCAATGCAAAGGATTGGGTTCAGATGATAAATGAGTTTCAGAAGGGTTCACTGTCCACTAGACTTGGGATTCCAATGATTTATGGAATTGATACTGTTCATGGTCACAATAATGTCTACAAGGCTACCATATTTCCTCATAATGTTGGTCTTGGGGCAACCAGGTACATTGTTTGATTTTCCAAGGGTTCGTTACGTCATAAACAGATGAGCAATGTTATAAACAGGTAAATTGTTTGATACTGCTTTAAGTTTAAGCAATGGAATTTACCATTTCAGGGATCCAGCCCTTGTGAAGAGAATTGGTGCTGCAACTGCTCTTGAAGTTAGAGCTACAGGCATTCCTTATGCTTTCACTCCATGCATTGCGGTACACATTCTAATTTGTTAACGTAATTTATGATCTAACCAATCATTGTTATTGGATCGAAGTTGATGTATATACATATGGAGTGAGATTTATCCATTTTATCTCTATTAAATTTGATTCTTTTGAATGCCTTGGATAATAGGTATGCAGAGATCCAAGATGGGGACGGTGTTACGAAAGCTACAGTGCTACAGTGAGGATCACAAATTGTACAACAATTGACAGAAATCATCCCTGGTTTACAAGGCGATCTCCCTTCTACTAAAGTTGAGGGAATTCCCTATGTTGGTGGGAAGTAAGTCTAGCAATTGTCACCTACACTTATTTCTTTTGTACTTGTCAATTTTCAGCAAAAATTACACCTTTACCCCTGTCTCACCATCTCTTCTAAATTATCATAATTTTTACATTGTACCTTTAATTATGGTTATTAATTAATTTTAAACTGTCTAATGATTAATATTTGTTACAAATTTGATGAAAAATTGTTTCATTTCGTCCCAAGCTATATCATTTTTGTTTCTTTTTTCTCTGTGGCTTCGAATATGAAGAACCAAGGTTGTGGCCTGTGCGAAACACTTTGTGGGTGATGGTGGCACGACGAAAGGGATCAATGAAAACAACACGGTGATTGACTGGCAAGGACTGCTCAAATTTCACATGCTTGCTTATCTCGACTCCATCAGGAAGGGTGTGGCAACCATAATGGTGTTCTATTCAAGTTGGAATGGCANCGACGAAAGGGATCAATGAAAACAACACGGTGATTGACTGGCAAGGACTGCTCAAAATTCACATGCTTGCTTATCTCGACTCCATCAGGAAGGGTGTGGCAACCATAATGGTGTTCTATTCAAGTAGGAATGGGAAAAAAATGCATGCAAATTATGATCTTGTCACCAAGTACCTCAAGGGCACCCTTGGATTCAAGGTATAAACATTTTGTAATTTTTGAAACTTAGATCCTTCTTGTGTTAGTTTTTATAAACTCAATTCTTAAAGGGTAGTTTTTTTTTTTGTAATTCTTAAAGGGTTTTTTTTTTTTTTTTTTGTATTTTTGGGTATTGAAAAGTCATGGTATTTGAGAGGTAATCACTAGAAAAGTCCAGATTTTTTTTTGAGAGGAGTGTTCATGTACTACTACATGGGAAAATGAAGAGACAAAATCTGGCTGCTGCTGCCATAGTGTTTCTGTGCAGAAAAAAGAGAATAAAAAACAATGTGTTGCTGCCAGAAAAAAAATCAGCAGTGTGTGACATGAGCAGAAGCTNTTTTTTTTTTTTTTGTATTTTTGGGTATTGAAAAGTCATGGTATTTGAGAGGTAATCACTAGAAGAGTCCAGATTTTTTTTTGAGAGGAGTGTTCATGTACTACTACATGGAAAAATGAAGAGACAAAATCTGGTTTCATGCATGAATGCAGCTGGACATTGAATGGGCAGATTCAAGGACTTTTTGGTTGGAACATAGGCATATAAAAGGGGCTGGACTGCTGCTGCCATAACAGAGTGTTTCTGTGCAGAAAAAAGAGAGTAAAAAACAATGTGTTGCTGCCAGAAAAAAAATCAGCAGTGTGTGACATGAGCAGAAGCTCTATTTCTTTGTATTTCTTGAGCGTTTACTGCTGAAAATTTCAGATTAGTTTTCCCCTTGTATTCCTTGATATTGTAATCATTCTTGATGAAAAATAGAGGTGTTTCTAGAGTGAAATTAGTGTGGATGTATAATAGATTTTTATCCTCTATTTTTGTGTTCTTTTGGTGATCTATTTTTGCTTCCACTACCCAACATCTTGAACCAAAGAGTAATATATCTAAATCCGAAACCGTGGAGTATGAACCTCTTTCAAAAGCGGTGATTACTTTTTTAGCTCTCTTTCTTGAAGTGAGTGCACGAAGAGTTGTATGCTAATTTTTTCTGTTTGTACAAATTGCCAGGGTTTTGTCATCTCAGATTGGCAAGGTATTGATAGAATCACGTCACCACCCCATGCAAATTACACATACTCCGTTCAAACTGCAATTCATGCCGGCCTTGGCATGGTGAGGACACTGCTCTAAAATAAATATACTGACCATGGGATTAGGGATGTCAGTGGACCGAAGCGGGGGCGGGGGTATAGTCTCCATCCCCGTGCCCGCTTAAAAAACTTTCGTCTATCTTCGGTCCACCCCGTTAACGGGTATTTTTTTAATCCCCATTCTTGTCTGCGGAGAATTTTTTAATCTCCGCCCCCGTCCCCACTTCACCCATTCTCGTCCAAGCCCAAGCCCACAATCACATTATAAGAGAAACACATATTTTTGAACTCTGAATTACTTATGTCATTTCCACAAATTTTCGAAGTGTATATCTCCTTTTTCAAAACACAAAATTTTCAAAGTGCATATCCAACAAATGTTTCCACTTCTGGTGCCAATATGAAGTCCAAATGGAAAGTAATCTAAAAGAGAGGAAGTTATCTCTGAATGTTGTTTATCATCTACACCACTAAAGCTATCCATCTATTGATAGCTTCAAAAAAGCAGAATCCTTGAAAGGAATAAATAATAATAAGGGTACCAATCATGGAAAAGGTAAACATCCCTGAGCCACTCTAAGGTGATGGCACCAAACTTTGAATTCCGATGTCTCAACATAGAGGTTAGGAATTACCCAAAAGACTCAGTCATACATTTAATATGAAGCCCTATGAAATAAAGCAATATAGTTAACCTTAGTTGTCCCTGTGGAATTTATGTAGAGGTAAATTGGTTTTTCTTCATCCTCATACTGAAGATAAAGATATTCTGCTAGTATCAACTCTGTGACCGATGGAACTAGAGACATTCCCAAGTAGACAATTCGATTCTTATACAAGTAAGATGCTAAATCTGGAGGAGGTTGCTCCCATGCACTTTCCCTTGAAAAAGGAATAACCTGTCAACAGAAGTATGGCAAACAACAGTTCTGAGAAGTTTCTCGAATACAATAGGATGATAAAGTCAAGCAAAATAAAGGTTAAGAATAATTAAAGTGAAACATAGTTATTTCTTTTATGAAAATATATAAAATTACATCAAGGATAATACCTACATAATGAAGGAAATCTGTGCAATTCGAACTGCACATGGATGACATTAAACCTTCATTAAAATGTGCAATTTAAAAACATTACAAGGAGAAAACTTTCGTTATATTTTAGATTGTTGAGTAAGAGTATTTGAATCTGGTATTAATTACGGGATTAGCNATTACAAGGAGAAAACTTTCATTATATTTTAGATTGTTGAGTAAGAGTATTTGAATCTGGTATTAATTACGGGATTAGCAAGCTGTTTGGTAGGAAATAGAAACTCAATCAACATATTTCTAGCAAANTGGTATTAATTACAGGATTAACAAGCTGTTTGGTAGGAAATACAAACTCAATCAACATATTTCTAGCAAAAGGATTTTCTTTTTCTTATTGCTTTCATTCTTTTTTCTTATAAGCCAGCCATGCCTAAACCTACGAGGAAAGAGAGATAACCTGCGATGCTTGTGCCTGTGAAAGATGTGAAAGATTTCCACGAAGCTCAAGCACCTTAAGATCGCAAACTCGATAAGCTGCTAAAACCTTTAGGAAGATCTCTGAGATCGATCGACTGAGACTGAGAGAAGCAGAGAGAGGGGGGGCTATGCTAATAGTCACGACTTGGGATTTTGAGGAACTAAGCTGGTCTCGATGTTCATGTGTGTCCTGAGAGGGGGGCGGCGATCAGCTGATAGGAGAAGAGAATAAGAGAAGTTAGGTCTTGGGTTTTTTAACTGGGCATATATATATATATATATATATATATATATATATATAT